GGGGGTCTAGTGGAATGTGGCAAGAGAGCTTGGGGATGGCTTGTTCTCATAAAAATCTCTCAACTGATGTCATCATTAGGCATTACTCAGGTGTAAACAGTTTGCAGCACTATTCTGGGAGATATATACCATACAATGAGAAAACAATCTTATATGACACCTTACAGAGGAGAGAAATCATTTACTTTTTAATAAAGTAATAATCATGGCTTTGTTTGGTTATTTTTACCTGATATTGGGAACTTCTTCTTCTACTATCAAATCAGCAAGAAGAAAATGGTGTTTTGCAATTAGGAAACGATTTATCACTGATTCTCTAACCTAGGGACAGAAATGAGCTCTATTAGGATGTGCTTATTATTTAAATGTCATACTACACTCTGTCGAGCCTCTGCCCTGATAGCACCTTAGTGTCCCCGCGCCCAGTCCAGCTGTTACTTTTCTCTGCAGTGTTGCTCTGTCCTTGCTATAAGTCCGCTAGCTTCTGCAGTAGTCTATAAGCTTCCTAAAAGCAGGGGCTTGGTTTTATTCACTGCAATTATTCTTAGGACCTGGAAAAGTGCTTGGCACATAAGACAGTAAAATTTTGCTGAATGAATGAATGAATGAATGATTATAAAAAATAGGACCTGTCTTGGGGCCGATAGGTGGCATTGTGGTTAAGGTGCTGGACCTTAGGAAAAAACCAACCATGATTCGAGTCCCGAACCTGGTGGCTTGCTTTCACACTCTGTCTCTGGTCAAATTGGATAATAGCAAAACAAAACAAAAATAAACAATTATTAAAAAGAAATATATATGACCTATCTCAAGACACATGATTCAGAACTGATTTGTAAGTTCTTTTTCTATCCGAATGAGCTACTTCCTAATTTAAATATAGAACATCTTTTTTTCTTATTTTTAATTTTTTTAGAGAAAGATTTTTGCTATAGGGCACATGCAATCACCCATGAGACAAGGAGAGACAGAGAGACAGAAAGTGAGAAATCACTCTACAGGAGGGATGGCCATGCCACAATCCCTTCTCCTCCATTCTCCTCTTGGGATCTTGGGGCATTCACACATATGTTCCCAGTGTGAGTTTTAAGCCATCGAATAGCAGTCAACCATGTGTGAGTCCTGCAACGTAACCATTATGCCATCTGCTGGTCTCCCTAAGACATCTTAAATGTCATAACTTTTTTCCTTTATACACGAGCCACGAGCCACAGGGTAGATAAATTCGTTGGAAAAAGGCACTGTAGTCACTACAGCATTTCTTATAAGTTCATTGAAGGAAAGAAAAAAGGCAAGAAAAGGAAGAAAACGATAAATGGATGGATGATGAACAAATAAAGCAATGTTTCAACTTTGCTTTATAATGCACTAGGGCAGTTAGCGTGTGGCTCAAAAACTTTATTTTTTTTCTGAATACAAAGATTGTTGTGGGCTAGCCAGTGGTATGATGCTTAAGACACTGGAACCCATATAGCCAAATGCACAGTTCAAGTCCTAGACCTGGTAGCTTGCAAAAACACGGTGGGTGTGTGTATGCATGTCCCAAATCCCAATAGACAGGGAAGGCAAGTTGTGATGTGGTCGTGGGAATTATTTCTCACTCCCCCCCCCTTCTGGTGAACACATGTATCCTAAATAAAAAGGAAAAAAAGAAAAGATTATTGTAGTGCAATGCAACATTCCAATGCCAAATGTATAAATACTAGAAAAAAACATGATTTAAGTAATTAGTCTTTGGTAATCAGACCCCACTAATATAACAACTGCTGATAATAAACTGGAACATCCTAGTGGTTTCACATATTATAAGGGTGAAGATAGTTGTCAATTATGTATTTGCATTTATGAGAAAATAAGTCTAGAGAGGTTAAGTGGGTTTACATAAGATTGCATATGTGGGGCCGGCAGGTGGTGTAGTGGTTAAGGGTGCTGGACACCCACATGGCTGACTGCTGTTCTAGTCCTGGACCTGGCAGCTTGCTTCCTCACTTTCCCTCTCTCTCTTTCACTCTGTCCCTCTATGTTCAAATTATAAATAAATAAATAAATAAATAAATAGAGTTCAATAAAATAATTCTTTAAAAAAAAAGAGATTGCGGGAGCCAGCAGTTAGCGTAATGGCTGTGTCGCTGGACTCCCACATAGTTGACCGCGGTTCGCGTCCCAGACCCGGTGGTTTAAAACTCATGCCGGGGGAACCAGCAGTTAGCGTAATGGCTATGTCGCTGGACTCCCACATAGTCGACCGCGGTTCGTGTCCCGGACCCGGTGGCTTAAAAACTCACACCGGGCGCGTGTGCGTGCGTGCCCAAGATCCCGAGAGGAGAATGGAGGAGAAGGGATTGCGGCGT